AGAGAGAGAGAGAGAGAGTCCCACTGAACATTAAAACTATAACATCAAACGCATCATCAACCATTATATTTCAGAGTGTTAGTAGCAACGTTCCCTTCCCTGGGCCCGAGCAAGAGACAAGACACACAATATTTCCCACTATGTACACAACAAGCCCTGGGTGGAGAATCCCGGGCCATCCCAGGTGTTACGTCATGTTACACTGAGGTTGGTCACACCTTCACACGTCGTATCACTGTTAACTAATACTGATGACAAACGCCCGTGTAACTACCTGCCCGGTCTCCCTATAACAGTTCACTACATCTTACTTTAATCTGCATATAATTTTTAATAAACTATCACGAGAGAAATAGCCGGACACACTCCTACCGTGGACATAACAGGATAGACTAGGCAAGGATAGGTTAGGATAGGTTAGGAGCGGTTAGAATAGGTTAGATTAACGTTATGGTGATTAATCTTCAGGTGATCCCCCAAAAGGTGTAGACCAGGTAAGACACACCTGTACCACACTACTGGACGTCTAAATAACCTGTTCCCAACCCGCCTGTGTCAACCAGTGTGTACAGCGTGGCAGACAAGGTATGGTCATGCTGGACCCCCACTCACTCACTCTCTCACTCAACCACCTCCACCAGTCAGCCACCACCACCACTACCATTCACTCACCCATCACCACTCACTCACCACCATCACCACTCACTCACCACCATCACCACTCACTCACCCATCACCACCACAGCCTACCTATAACAACACTCCTGACCCACTCTTCCAAACACCAAACAATTTAGACAAAGATGAGCCTTATGGTCGGGTGTGTCCTCTAGCCCCTTCACACCGTACCTCCTCAACCCTCCTGAAGACCTCCAACACCTCCTCAACCCTCCTGAAGACCTCCAACACCTCCTCAACCCTCCTGAAGACCTCCAACACCTCCCCAACCCTCCTGAAGACCTCCAACACCACCTCAACCCTCCTCAAGACCTCCAACACCTCCTCCCCAACCCTCCTGAAGACCTCCAACACCACCTCAACCCTCCTCAAGACCTCCAACACCTCCTCAACCCTCCTGAAGACCTCCAACACCTCCTCCTCCTGAAGACCTCCAACACCTCCTCAACCCTCCTGAAGACCTCCAACACCTCCTCAGCCCTCCTGAAGACCTCCAACACCTCCTCAACCCTCCTGAAGACCTCCAACACCTCCTCAACCCTCCTGAAGACCTCCAACACCTCCCCAGACACCATCTTTCTCGCCCTGGTTTTGAGTTCTTGTAAAATATCCTTGAGTTACCTGTACCTTGTCCCCTTCACCAGTAGATACAACACCTGATACACACCTCCATAGACACCTGAGTTAATATGGAGTAAACAAGTGTAGTTTTTTATGATTCACCTGAAGATTAACCACCCTAAAGCTAACCTCACCTAAAAACTCAATGCTAACTTAACCTAAACTGACGCTAACTTAACGCTAACCTTAACCTAACCAAACGCCAACCTAGCCTCATCCCCCCCAAATAGCATTAAGGTAATTCATCTGTAGTAAGCTGGAGTGGATATTCGACATAAAAGACAGAGGTCGAGCATTATCGATATACTCGACCAAAGGAGTAATTTAAAGACTAATGAGACAAGAACATCATCATCATTATGGGGAAACCGTTGCTACAATCACACCTCCTCCATCCTTGTCCTTGAGCTTTCCCCCTCACCTAAATTTCCCATTGTGTCCAAACATTCCCAAATGGCTTAGACTTCGTTGGACTCCGCCTCCCCTAACCCTCCCCATCTCCCCTTACTATGCCCCTCCCCTTACCCTCCCCGCTTCCCCTTACCCCCCCCCCCCCGTCTCCATAACCCCTCCCTTCGGTAAGTTTGAGATTGCTTTCTGGACAGGCGATTGGTTTGTAGCGAGAAGTATCCAGGCGGAAGCAATCACAGTCGCAGAACTGAACAATAACGAGGGAGGAATGGACTCAGGGATGAGTTTTGGGGTCAGGAGGAGGATGCAGCGGTAGGAGGGTGGGGAAGAGGAGGGTGGAGGGAGATGATGGGTGGGGGTAGAGATGGGTGGGTGGGGGAGAGATGGGTGGGGGTAGAGGGGAGGGGGTGGGGGAGGAGGGGAGGGTGGGGTAGAGAGTGGTGGGGTAGAGGGGAGGTGGGGGGTAGAGGAGGGATGGGGTAGAGGGAGGGATATAGTAGGGAATGGGTGGGGTAGTAGCGAGGGTGGGGTAGAAGGAGGGTGGGGGCAGGAGGGGCTGGGGAGTAGGGAGGTGGGGGTAGAGGAGGGTGGGGGCAGAGGGGAGTGGGTGGGGTGAAGAAGCGAGGGGTGGGGGTAGTAGGGAGGGGTGAGGGTAGGGAGGGTGGGGGTAGTAGGAGGGTGGGGGGGGTAGTGAGGGAAGGTGGGGGTAGTAGGGAAGGGGTAGTAGGGAGGGGTGGGGGGTAGTAGCGAGGGGTGGGGGGGTAGTAGCGAGGGTGGGGGTTGTAGGGAGGGATGGGTGAGGGGGGAGACATGACGCGGTGAACAGCTACTGACGGGGAAATGACATCACAACAGGTACTTCCCTCCCCCCACCAACGTACTGTATCTTCCCTCACTACACTTTACTTCCATCACTACACTGTACTTTCCTCACCACACTGTACTTACCTCACCACACTTACCACATTTACAAGACTGAAATTTTATAAAGCTGTAATCAGACGTACAGTAATCTACAGTGATAACCTAACCTAACCTAACCTAACCTCATCCCCCAAATGGTGTTAGAGTGGTTAGTGTTTAGGTGAAATAAACTAGGGTGAAGATTCTGCAGGTGATAAAACAATAGATATATAATATTTCAGTCTGCACGTGTCGACTATTAAAAAATGCAGGAATCTTAATGGAATGTGATCGTCTTTTAAAAGCGTTTCCCGATCACTCATTAATATCTGGATGGATGATATTTCCCCCGTGGGCCCGACACGTCACAAACACCCTCCACCACCACCACCACTCACGACAACATCCTCCACCACCACCACTCACGACAACACCCTCCACCACCACCACCACCACCCAGGACAAACACCCATCACCACCACCAACACTATAACAGGATAACAGAGGCTGGAGGGACTGGATACAGTACACCACCATCCCCGAACCCGCCCGCACCTCCCTACCAAATTTGAGTTCGATCTTCAAAACCGTGAAAATACAAACACGTGTAATGTCCAGTAGACCTTAACATCCACACACCTTGAATACATCACCTCCCAAAAATATTATAGTAATTGAACGACTGACGCCAGACTTATGCTGAGTATATTTACTATTTTTATATGCCAATAATAAATAATAGACTGGAAAGAACACACAGAGATTCAGTCTTTTAAAATAATGGAAACGAATAAATGTCTACCAAAACTACCATCGATTTTTAATATTTTGCTTTAAAATTTCTATCCATAAGCTACAAGAACCATATAACAATCACCGTATGTATCTTGGTGTCTGTTTGTCCACTCGTTATTGTCACCATCACACATCTCAACCAATTTATAGAATTTGGTGTGAATTTCAGCTGGATTATTCAATATGATAATTTTTTTCAAGTGTGGTTTATTTCTGAAGTCTGCCCAGTGCGTGTCTAAATCTCTCATCATCAGGTTATTTCTTCGTGAATATACTGTAACACATGTTTTTAATAATGAACTATGACAAGCACAGGCGTCTGGGACCTACACAACGTCACCATAATCTAATTCTTAATAAGACTTAATATGCGAGGCGAAAACTGCATACCAGAAGGACCATTACAGTACAGTTTACACGTAGCAACACTTACGTCAATATAAATTTACATCCACATCCACCAAAGAACTTATATTTAATTCTCGTAGTTGGTGAGGATATGAGAACGTATCTAACGACTCACCGAAGCTGAACCTCGTAAATAACACGCAGAACAGCATCGAAATTACATTACATACGTTCCCTTGGCGCCAGTTAGACGAAGGCAAAGTAACTCCATAATCTTTGCGAATCCACGTAAGATACTCAGACTTTCGTTCAAACACGTAAACTAACATCCAAAATGGCAACACAATTACACCGAGTACCCATACTACAGGCAGCCGTCCACTTCACACCAGCCAGGGAACAAAACACTCGTGAATATGCAGATACTTTGTGAACTCAGCCCCTGGTCATTAATCTCTCTTTATGCTGATGGTCGCCGTGAAGCTGTGACAAGGGACTGATCATTACTTATACCTCGCCTGGGGGACGACCTTTATTCAAATTTTCTGTCTGTCTGTCTGTGATTCTACCTACACACAGCAATCTCATCGTCATCCTCAGTATTGTTTGTTAGTCGTGTGTCTGTCCATGGCATTACTCATTGTCTGTCCATTTTAAGGGATGTCTGTCTGTGTGTCTGTCTAAAACACTACTGGCTGGATCTACTGTCTGTTTATCATTACTCTTTATGCCTACACTATCCAAGAACTGGTCACACACACACACACACACACACACACACACACACACACACACACACACACACACACTTTCCTCCAAGTGACGCCCTAAAACATCCTAAAGACCTCATAGTTTTAATTAGGGAAGGTCAGGGTCTCAATCACCCGTGTCAGTCGGACAGTCGGACACGGACGCCTCCTTCAGTAGATTAACCACGAAGGATCATCCATAAATAGGACCCAAACCCAAAAGAAAAGCGTTACCTAAAACTAATATATATGTATAGGTTTAACTGATCCATTTTTGATGTTGTAGCTTCTTGGTTGTGTTGGTTACCAGCCTTATATATACGTAGTTACGATGTTGATATTACACTACCTTGAGAGTATGGCCATATACAGACCTACGTACGCAAGTAACAAGATATATACTTTTCACATTCACGGTGGAAAATAAAATATAAAACATGAAATAGAATAAATATATATAAATAAATAAATAAATAAATCATGAGAAAAATATCCTCAAAATATTCCGGACCGTCTGATGCCATTTCTTGTTTTTGCTCTGAAAATCGGAAACACATTTTTGGGAGAGGCCGTAAAGAAACTCCAACAGGGTTTCTATATAGTTGCAATTTATGTCCCACAAATAAAAAAAAAAACAATTTTCTCCTGGGTAAATGTACTTACTTCCCACTCAACCATTCCCCACACAATGCTACGAGGATAGAGGAGGTCCTGATGTAACTTGGGTGTGAAGCAAGTAGTCCCCCCGCCCCGCCCCGCCCCGCCCCGCCTCCCCCTCTGCTGGGAAACTCCACAACTGGGCTTAGTATCCCCGCTCCCAGATACCTTCCTTCCAAAATTCTCAGCCGTGAATTTGCAGCCGAGGAGTAACCCGGAATAGAATATTGGCAGTGGGTCATGCAGGGAAAGGAGGTCGGGGACGGTCATGGGAGACAAGGAGGAAAAAGTGGGAAGGTTTGGGTTCTGGGGAAGGGGAGAGGAAGAACGAAGGGAAGGGGAGGGACGAGGAAAGGATGGAAAGGAAGAAGAGGAGAGGAAAGGATGGAAAGGAAGAAGAGCAGAGGAAAGGATGGAAGGAAGGAAGGAAGGAAGGAAGGAAGGAAGGAAGGAGAAAAAGAAAGAAAGGAAGGAAAGAACGAAGGAAGGAGGGAAGGGTTCTCTCCCAGTTTATAGTGAAACCTTAACTGGTTAATAAAGAGCCAACGTTCAACAATCATAACCACCCGTTGTTCCTCTTCGCCTTTCAACGACACACTTAATACACAAATTCCTCCGCCAGGCACACGTTCGCTTGCCTTCTGCTTGCACTGGCGCAGGTTAAAGGTTAGAGACAAGAGCACAGATACGGTATGGGGGGGTTACCACCACGAAGGCAGTGATGGATGTAGTTGTTGCTGGTGTGGAGGTCAGGAGGGGTGTGGCCCGTCATGTCTAGCGCCGTCATTTGGCCACATCCCACCACCAGCTGAAGTACACAAGGGCCACACTGATCATAACAACGTCATAAAAAAAACAAAACACAACAAAAGATCATTTACAAAAACAACAAAAATAAAACAACAATAAAACAAAATTAAAGCAACATCATTACAAAATAACATAAACAATAACAACATTATAATACTGGTAACAATCACAATAAAAAAAAACACAAATTAAAAAAAAAAAAAACTAATATCACAAGAATTCGTAAAATATTATAAATGAAATTACTCCAACAACAGACTGGGATAACTTTGTAATAACGACACAATTATGATAACTATGTAAATAAGATAAAAGAGTATAGAGGAAATAACAAGATTATGATACTGTTATAAACATTACTGCCATGCCAACAATAAGGTCACTACCGTTACCGCCATAAATGGAGTAGAAAAACAAAGGTTCATAAACAGATATAATTACTTCACTCTGGGAAGATGACGACGACACAGGAAATGCTGAAGTACAGTGTGTGTGTGTGTGTGTGGGAGGTGTGGGGGAGGTGGGGGGAGGGAGAGTGTGGGGGTGGTGTGGGGGTGTGGTGTGTGGGGGTAGTGTGGTGTGTGGGGTGTGGGTGTGTGTGGGGGTAGTGTGTGTGTGGGGGTAGTGTGTGTGTGTGGGGGTAGTGTGTGTGTGGGGGTAGTGTGTGTGTGGGGGGTGTGTGGGGCAGTGTGTGTGGGGTGTGTGTGTGTGGGGGTGTGTGTGTGGGGGTGTGTGGGGGTGTGTGGGGGTGTGGGGGGTGTGTGTGGGGGTAAGAGTGTAAAGAAGAGTGTGGGCAAGAGTGTAAGCAGATGGGGGTAGTGTGTGTGTGTGTGTGGGGGTGTGTGTGGGGGGGCAGTGTGGGGTGTGTGGGGGTGTGTGTGGGGGGTGTGTGGGGGTGTGGGGGTGTGTGGGGGTGGGGTGTGGGGTGTGTGTGGGGGTGGGGGGGTAGTGTGTGTGGGGGCAGTGTGTGGGGTAGTGTGTGTGTGTGGGGGGGTTACAGAGTCGTCTGGTTGAGGTACAGTAATGTGTAGTGTGGTGGGACGCGGTAGTGTGTGGTGGGACGCGGTGTAGTGTCGTGTTATGCAGTGTAGTGTGGCGTGACATGGTGTAGTGTGGCGTGACATGGTGTAGTGTGGTGTGACAGTAATTTTATTTAATTTTGCCACGTACATTGGCTAGTTTATTGTGCACCCCATACTTATGCAGTGAACGGTAGCGCAAAAGATTATAATGTTGAGGTCACAAAGGGTCAGTGGAACTGACCACAGTGGTCAGGATATTATGCCATTGAAGGTTACAGAGTATTTCAAATAAATTCTTTGTTTAATTTTAAAATTTTTTCTACAGGTAAACACGGACTGTAACTACCCCAAAGATTTGTTTTCAGTGACAGTTTTTCTTTATATTTTAGCAAATATTGAGGCACAGTCCCCTTCACTAGTGCGTTTACAGGGGGTCGTCAGGTTGTGTGCAGTGTGGCAACCCTGTGTTTGTTTGCATTCGTCAGAAGGAAACTCGAAATAGTAAACATACTATGGAATCAAAGTAAAACAATATTCAAATAAATATCTCAATGATAATGATTTATAGAATGTTTATGTGATGAGTCCCTGTAAAAGTACAAGTGAAGGACTGTACATGTAACTAGTAGGAGACTTACAAATTCAGTCTGGCAGCATGAACAGTCAAACGAGTGATTATTTACACTTCTTCATGAAGGTCACCTGGTCTAGATAACTAATAAACACTTTCAGGTTCCAACATACAAAAAAAAAGCGGGAATTTCCATGACAGTGAGATGATAAAGTGAAGGACTTAACTCGTACCAATAAGGGTGAAAAAGTTACATTTCATTAAGTTAATCGTGATTTATCTTTCCCTTTTGTCAACATACCTTTGAACTATTCGTAAACTGGCTATTGTTCTATGTTATGTTAAGTGTTCCTTATGGTTTTGGTTTCTATATAATTACGAGTTTATATTTTACAAGTATCATTTATTTTTGTTGTTGTTGATGACTTGTGTTGAAGTGTTGTGTTGATATAATGTGTTACGTAATATTCTCCACTCTATTTGTAATAAGAAATAATTAAACTGAAGGTATTAGGATGCTCTCATTGTAGCGTCACGATTAGTGTAAAGTGAAGCCTGAATCTGGAATGACCAAAATTACTTATAGGTTATCAAATTCAGATCTCTAATGGGCCCCAAATGACTTTCTTGCCCAGGGCCCCAAGATCAACCACTGATGTAGGTATTCAACTTTCTAGGTAGACAGACATACAGAGAGATAGACAGGCATAGGTAAACAAGAGACAGAGAGACAGACAGACAGAAACACAAACAAACAAACATATAGAGAAACACAGAGACAGATAGACATATACACAAACAGGGAGAGAGGCAGAGACACACACACATCTACAAGTTTCTGCGACAGGTATACTGAACTATTGCCAAGTCATACAACAACAGGGAGAAAGTGATCAATGTTTGGTTACGACAGGACCGACGACAAGGTCAAGGTCATGGAGGCGGCTTTTACCCTGTGTGGCGGTGATAGCCAAGTCAGAGGGAATTAGAGAAGCAGATAAGAAGGTCCATTAAGGTATTAGAAGAGGGAGGAAGAGGTACAGTCCACGCCACTTACAAGCCAGACAGACTGGCCGCCTCCAAATTCCTAGTCGGCAATTTCGCTGGGTCCATCCCTCCCCCATCCCCCTTAACATACAAACCAGGCAATTAATTGGTGGTCAGGTAAAATATAGTTATTTATCCATTCTAACGTGTTCAAGGGAAAACATTAACTTTACAATGGAGTTTGAAAATTTGAAAATAAATTTTGCTTAAAATCTCAGCACAGGTCGTCCTCGAGGTGTAGGTTAAGGATCAGTGGCCACAAAGTGAAATTCTGATAATCAAGTGTCGTCCAAGTAATTAGTTAATTTGAATAAAAAAAATCACGCTTCAGGGACATTTAGATATCAAGTCTTCAACATTTCGACCACATATCCTGACCCAACATATTGAGGATGATCTATGCTGAAATTTTGAGTAAAATTAAATTTCGACACAAATAAAAAAAAAATCCCCCACAGAGTAAAAAAATAAAATTTTAATTAGAAAATAAAAAATAAAAAAACCGGCAATTTTTCAAACGTTTTAACATTGTTCAGGTAATAGAGCTCTCTAATTGGACCTGGGAATGGAGCTCTCTGATTGGTCGAGGGAATGGAGCTCTCTGACTGGTCTAGAGAATGGGCCTCTCTGACTGATGCAAGGAATGGAGCTCTGATTGGTCCAGAGAGAGAGAGAGAAACACGGTAGCCATTTCTATATCCCTTCGGCTGGGGCAAACAGGGAGAGTTACGACACTAAAAAAGTAAACAATGAATCACTCAAGCATTTATTAAGAGGCACAACTCTTTTTAAATTGCAGATGGCCGCCAGTGACTTCTGTACTACGACGTTTCCTACGAGGGGTCCTCAACTTCCTCTCTTCATGCTCTCAAATAAAAAAAAACACTTTGACAATTAGCACGACACAGACAGGAAGCAGGTACAGTAGCATATTCTGTACCAGTTAATAAAGCAGCCCCACACACACACACACACACACACACACACACACACACAAAAAGACTATGTGCAAAATCAACGAGAATTTTTTACCACTTTTATAATGGGTCGTAAGTTTTAATTAAAGATTGCCGGCAACCTCCTCCTCCTCCTTCCCCTCTCCCCCATCCCCTCCCCTATTCCAACCCTCCCCCTCCCCCCCTCCTCCTTCTTCTTCTCCTCCCTCTTCTTCCCGCACCGAGTGTTAGTGAAGCGTTTCCAATAATGGTCTTCACGCCGAAGATTAAGACAATATATCAAGTCTTGGATGGAGCGTGATGGGTCGACCACCAGAGAACCTAAACAAACAAACAAACAAAAAACTCCCCCATCAGACACACTAGGATACAACACAAAACAAACAAACAAGCAAACACCCCATCCTGCCACACTAGGATGCAATACCAAACAAACAAACAGACAAATACACAAAAAACTCCTCGAGCAGCCACACCAGGATACAACACCAAACAAACAAACACACAAACACTACTCCACCATCAGTCACACTAGGATACAACACACCAGAGAACACAAACAGAGAAACAAACACTCCTCCATCAACCACACGAGGATACAACACCAAACAAAAACAAACAAACAAACAAACAAACACAAACAAACACTCCTCCAACAGACACACTAGGACACCTTGTGAGATAAATTGATGGTTGTCTCTTGACTGTAGAGAGAAAGAGGGGACGATGAAGACCCATTGTATTCAGAATCAATCTCAAGCTTTCTTTCGTCGCGGCTGAACTATATCCCAAGTTTGGAAGGACCAGCGCCAACACCGAGGACCAGCAGGTGGGAGGGGGGGGGGGAGAAGGAGGAGGGGGATGGTGAGGGGGAGGAGGGGGAGCGAGTCTACCCCCCACCATCACCCACCGTATACAATATACTGTATAACTCAAGACACTGTAGTCATTCTTAATAAATTACTAAATCACGTTAAGAAAACAAATAGTGATGTCACGAAAAAGAGGAGATTAATATAGAGGAATATATTTTTGAGTGTGTTAAGGGGTAGTAGCTGAGGTAGGGAGTGAGACGGCAGGTGGACATGATTACCGTGGGAGTCAATACACTTAGCCAGGTAACTTGACCACCACCACCACTACTACGTCTACCGTTACTACTTCTTCCTTCACAACCACTACAACAACCGTCAACACCTCCACCGCAACTTCCCTCACCACACAAAATATCTCCTTCATCCACCACAACCACCACCATCAACAACCACAATTATCATCACACTCACATATCACTATAACCACCATAGTTTCCCAAATCACCATCAAAACATATCACCCTTTTCGACAACCATCAGCTCTACTACTACCATTAACATCATCTCTATCGCCACCACCACTACTATTTCTACCACAACTACCATCATCTCTACCACCATCCTCCTCCTTACCCTGCCATTCTAAACCCAAACTAAACCACACAGAACTAACAGACTAACATAAGAATTGAGAACCACTGAGAAGAGGCAAGGCGAGTGTAGCCTTTGGTAAGAACAAGTATTGAGTGGTCCGCTACTTCACACATTGACGTCAAATGGAAATGGTGTTGACGCATGCATATACAAGCATGGGAAGGTTCACCAAGCTACCTCAGTACTGTTTCTTTAATCCCACGCCCACCACCCACTCACTTCTCCCACGCCCATCTCTCACTCCTACGCCCACCCACCACTTTCACTCCCACTCCCAGCCCACGCCCCAGCCTGCCTACCTCTCCCACCTGCCTACACACATCTCCAACTGTCGCTGGATATTTCTAAACACACACACCATAACACCGTCCTTCTACGATTACCAGAATTATGGTAAAAAAACTTAGGCGTCTAACACGTGTAAATTTATTCTATCTATTATTTAATAATATAACAATAATAATAATACACAATACAACTTGTAACCAAGAGAGATAATAACATCACGTCATTAACTGACAAAAACACAAAGGAGTAAACAACAACAAAACCAACAGTGGCGGAGTAAACAACAATAACAGTGACACAGAAGCAAACAACAGCAACAGTGACATAAAAGTAAACAACAGCAACAGTGACATAGAAGTAAACAGTAACATAATTGTAAACAACAGAATGACATAGAAGTAAACAACAAGAGAGGAGTAACTGACCTCGATGCCGGAGTCGCCGGAGTCCCCGGAGTTACACTTGGAGGACCTGGCGTCCTTCAGCCTCGCTCTCCGCCTCTCCTTACTCGACCTGAACAGCGGGTGACCGAACCTGTAGGAGGAGCAAAACACAAGGGTTAGTTCTTCTGGTGGTGATGTGTGGTGAGAGGGGTGGTGGTGTGTGGTGAGAGGGATGGTGGTGTGTGGTGAGAGGGGGGGTGGTGGTGTGTGGTGAGAGGGATGGTGGTGTGTGGTGAGAGGGGGGGTGGTGGTGTGTGGTGAGAGGGATGGTGGTGTGTGGTGAGTGGAGGAGGGGGAGAGGGGTGTGTGGTGAGGGTGGTGGAGAATGGTGTGTGGTGATGGGGGAAAGGAAAGTAGAAGAGAGTAATGATGGAGGAAAGGTGAGGGTAATGATGAAATAGAAAGACACAGATGGAAGGGAGGGAGACAGGGGAGGAGGAGATGAGGGAGGTAGGAGGGAGGGAGGAAAGCAAGGTAGAGTAGGGAGGGAAAGGAGGTAGGGAAGGGAGGTAGAGAGGAAGGAAAGGAGGGTGTCTTGTGTTGATACCGAGGTAGTGTAGTGGCCAGGTAGACCAGGTCGGGACAGGTGGGGGGCCCACAACGACGTTCTCCTCACTACTGTTTTTGTCCGGTCGTCTACCTGAGGTACTCCGCCCTCGGCTTACAAATGACCGCGGGGAAGGTGAAAGGGGTTACCTAAGTCCTGTGGGGAGGTTGGTGGAGGTCCTGTGGGGAGGTTGATGGAGGTCCCAGGGGGTGGTGGAGGTCCTGTGGGGAGGTTGGTGGAGGTCCTGTGGGGAGGGTTGGTGGAGGTCCTGTGGGGAGGTTGGTGGAGGTCCGGGGAGGTTGGTGGAGGTCCTGTGGGGAGGTTGGTGGAGGTCCGGGAGGGGAGTCGGGAGGTTGGTGGAGGTCCTGGGGAGGTTGGTGGAGGTCCCAGGAGGTTGGTGGAGGTCCTGTGGGGAGGTTGGTGGAGGTCCCGGTGGGAGGTTGGTGGAGGTCCCGTAGATAGTGGAGGTCCTGTGGGGAGGTTGGTGGAGGTCCTGTGGGGAGGTTGGTGGAGGTCCCTGGGGAGGTTGGTGGAGGTCCTGTGGGGGAGGTTGGTGGAGGTCCTGTGAGGGAGGAGGTCCTGGGGAGGTTGGTGGAGGTCCCAGGGGGGAGGTTGGTGGAGTCCTGTGGGGAGGTTGGTGGAGGTCCCAGGGGAGGTTGGTGGAGGTCCTGTGGGGAGGTTGGTAGAGGTCCTGGGGAGGCAGGAGGTCCTGTGGGGAGGTTGGTGGAGGTCCTGTGGGGAGGTTGATGGAGGTCCGTGGGGAGGTTGGTGGAGGTCCTGTAGGGGAGGTTGGTGGAGGTCCTGTAAGGAGGTTGATGGAGGTCCCAGGGGAGGTTGGTGGAGGTCCTAGGGGAGGTTGGCGGAGGAATTTAAGGTCTTGTGGGAAGGCTGGTATGGGTATTTACCAGAGCGGCCAGCAACGGCTGACTCCCACCAGCTACCAGAGTCTATCCAAGCGCTGAGATTTATTACCACCTTATACAGGATTAAAAATCTGATCAGGAAAAATTCAAACTTATGAGAGAACTTCCTATAAACTTATCAGATATCAAACGCTGGTGTGAAAACTTGATTACTGATGTAGGGGAGAGGTGCGGGAGGAGTGGGGTGGGGAGGGAGGAGGGGAGGAGGAGGGGTGGGAGGAGGAGGGGTGGGGAGGGGGGGGGTGGGGGAGGGCGGGTGGGGAGGGGGCGGGTGGGGAGGGGTGGGTGGGAGGGGGTGGGAGGGGTGGGTGGGGTGGGGAGGAGTGAGTGGAGGGGAGGAGGAGGGGTGGGGGAGTGAGGGTTGGGGAGAGAGGTGGGGTGGGGAGGAGTGGGGTGGGGAGGAGGGGGTGGGGGGTGGAGAGGAGGAGGATTGGGGAGATAATTTAGTGGTTGGGGGAAAGGAGGAGGGTAGGGGAGAAGGGCGAGGGGTGGGGGAGAGGGCGAGTGGTTGGGGAGAGGGGCGAGGGTTGGGGAGGGGCGAGGGTTGGGGAGAGGGGCGAGGGTTGGGGAGAGGGGCGAGGGTTGGGGAGAGGGGAAGGTGGAAGGGGGTGAGGAGGAGGGTTGGGGAGAGGAGGAGGGGTGAGGAGGAGTGGGGTGAGGGAGGAGGGGGTGAGGAGAGTGGTGGGAGGAGTGAGGGGTGAGGAGGAGGAGTGGGGGGGGTGAGGAGTGAGTGAGGGGTAGGAGGAGGAGTGGGGTGGGGAGGAGGAGTGGTGGGTGGAGGAGGAGAGTGGGGGTGAGAGTGAGTGGGGTGAGGAGGAGGAGGGGTGAGGAGGAGGAGTGGGGAGAGGAGCGAGTGGGTGAAGCAGTGTAATGCATGGTTATGTCTGCTTCATTATCTCCTCTACTGGGAATGACTGACACAAGACATTTCGACTTCGCTTCAAACGTCTCTGTCACATCACTGTCGCTGCCATAACTAAAGTGAGCCAGTAAAATGCGCCTGAGTTTTTGAGAAGCCGAGAGCCTACACCGATAGTGAGGGAAAGCTGCCGGCGCTAAGGGTGACACCTCACTGATTATACGAGCCTGTTTACATCCATCATCCACCAACACCCGTGGACCGTCTCGTAGGGCAGGTGGCATTCCGGGCAACACCTGGCTTAACACACTCATTAATCCGGAACAGTATTTCTTTACCTGAAGTATGCGAGAAGACAACAACACACACACACAGTCACGAGCGAGGGGGTGCTACTAAGTGTGTCATTTTAGAATATTTCTCAAACACTGGCAACAAAAGCACTCGGAAAATACTTTAGTCCGTTTATCAAGAAACGGCCAAACGACCTTTAAAAGTAGTTCAAGGTCATTCCTCTTCAAACTCGTTTGAAAGTTTGAGGGAAGGACAGACGGACGGAAGGATTGACGGAGGGAAGGACGGAACGATGGACGGACGGACGGATTGAGGGAGGGAGGGAGGGAGGACAGACAGAGGGGGAGGACGGGCGGACGGACGGACATACAGATTAACAGCCGTCAGCCCAACTCTACCTGTAGATCGTAACATAAAAGCGTAAAAAACATTTACAATAACTACTAAATAATAAAAGGGGTTTAACTCTCAGGTCCTTAATAGGATGAGCGTGAAGAAGATTAACATATACCTGTGTCGAGCAGTACTTTAAAGGCTATTATTCCAACACTGAACTTTCCCTAACATAGATGTAAACAATGTACCAACATAACTAACGGGTTAAATAGTGATGGGGCGCAGACCTGTAACACTTTCAAGGCCACAACTTCAGGGAGGAGCCGACATGAATATTAATATATACTGTATAGGCGTGGACGATGGGTACATGACCATTCAACGTGTGACGGTGGTAGTGGCTGGAGAGATCGGGGAGGAGAGAGAGACATGTGTGGCGTGAAAGCTGATAATTAACTGGAATGCGACTATTTCTCTCTCCCTATGATGCCGGCGAAGTGATGGACCTCTCGTAAGGCAGTACCTGGGAGTCGACTGTAGGGCGACACAGGAGGAGGAGGAGGAGAGGGATGTGCAAGAAACGAGTGGTAGATATCAATTTTAAAACCGGAAAGAGGTAGGCCTAGTAGAATTAAGGTTGATGGGAAGCGGTTTGGTGGTTGAGGTAATTGTGATGACAGTGTACTTGATGGTAGCGGAAGTGGTGCTGGAAGTGGTGTTACAGGTAAAGGAATGTTGATATAACTGAAATGGATAAGCATTAGTAACAAAATTCACATGTCTTGATAAAACCTCTTGGTATACTGTATATATCTGTATCATAAAGAGGCAGTGCAAATACTAATGGCCTACAACACTCGTAAATAACATTGATTTTTGAAAGATATATTGAGTTATAGACAATGAATATAGGAAACTGTTGATCACTAAAAAATAGAACACAAAGTGGCTTAAAGATACAACTAAATACTGTAATATAAACTAACATATGCCAGCACATCCCAACAGCTTCAACACAGTAAAGAGGAACTTACGATGTACATAAGATGGGCGGTAAAAGTGATGAGTTATAGAGGATGTAGAGAATGATGGCAATATATAGAAAGAGAAGAAGACCCCCAAGAGTGGCCCCGGTCTTGACGGCCACCCCCACACCGTACACCAGGACGGATATGCTGGCCATGTTGAGAGTGATGAGCAGCTGGAGGCACCTGGGCGACTCATCCGTCATTTAGTGAGTATTGGTGGCAGCGGTGGGATCCTCTATTTTGTGTTTACATTCAGACTTTTTCCCAACTGTTTCTTTACTTTTATGTTTTCATTCACTTGGTAAGTTATGGGCTGTAAGGATCCTGCGTGTATCCCGAGGACCATTTAGTTGTGTTCACTGAGTTGCATTTTTGTTTCATGATTTGTTCTTTTTCTTCTCTTGCACAAGGTTACCACAACTCAGATACTGTTATTTCAAAGAATTATGTTCATACGACACAAACAATGCTTTTAAGTTTAGTTTGAGATTTCTGAAATAAAAGTGCATAAAATCAAAGAAATGTCGAAATTAGGTTGACAACATACTGATGCTATGCACGACATAACACACGGTAGCAGCTTCAATTCATAAAATTTATATCCGTAAACAATTTCCATTAGCAGGTCACAATCCACGAACTGTATAAGGCTGGACCTTCATTTTGTGAGGACAATATACATAAACTGTACACAGGACACCAACCTCTTTGTAACTCCTGGCCATAAAAAGTAAGCAGAGAAAAATACAACAAAAAGTTAACACAAGGATCATTCATCATTGTTCACTACTTTAAGGTCTTTTTATGTCACACAATGGCAGATCTGACCACACGATTAGTCTCTCCTAACAAATAAACCTTGTAAACTGTCGAGAAAAACATTATTTAGCCGGGAATTGTATCCTCCAGCATCATTTATTATACAGTAAGACATGAACAACAGTGAAGGACCTTATTGACGTCAGTAATTTGGTCATGTTTAATTTACAATACACGTCGGAGTTTTGAAGTACAAAATAACTTACGGTTTAGAGAGATGTCATGGGTATTAAAGTACCGTCTGTAGTGGTGTCAGAGCCTCGACAAAGCCCCAATTACATTTTC